GGAAAAGGGAGCCCAGCTCTCCACACCGGGCTGGACACGTGGCGCCTGGAGGATCCACAACAGGATCCTCTGGCCTGGCTGAATGGCAGACAAAAGCTGGCTGCTTGTTGAGCGGGGCTTTTGTGCAGCCAGATGGGTGATTCATGGTCTGGAAGAGCAGGGGGCCTAATATTACACACACACACACACACACACACACACACACACACACACACACACACACCCTCTTGCAGTGCAGACTCTTCGCCTTGAGCTGGTGAGGCTCCCGACCAACCTGAGATCACCAAGGCGACGAAGAGCCCGCCGGGCACATCCCTTGGCCAGCCCTGGCATCATCCTTCCTCCCAGACGGAAAAGGGGAGGAAGGGCGCCGTTTCCTCCGTCTCCCCCCCCCCCCCCGCAAAGGGGCTGATTCCCTATTGGCTTCCGTCTTGAGATGGCCTCCAAAGGGAGCCTTGGGGGGGAAGCACTGGCCACCCAGCAGCGGCGGGGGGTGGGGGACGGGACGACCAGGCAGAGCATTCGTTCTCCAGGATACAATATCAATTCTCCTTTAATGTTTTCCCCTTCCTCTCTCTGCTTTCTTTCTTTCTTTCTTTCTTTCTTTCTTTCTTTCTTTCTTTCTTCTCCCTCCCCTTCTTTCTTTCTTCTTTCTTCCTCCCTTCCCCTCCCTCCTTCCTCTTTCTTTCTTTCTTCCCTCCCTCCCTCCCCTTCTTTCTTTCTTCCCTCCTTCCTTTCTTCCTTTCTTCCCATCCTTCCTTCCTTTCTTCCTCCCTCCCTCCCTTCCTTCCTTCTTCTTTCTTCCTTCCTTCCTTCCTTCCCCTCCCTTCTTCTTTCTTTCTTTCTTTTGTTCCTTCCTTCCTTCCCCCTTCCTTCCTTCCTGCCTTCTTTTTTTTTTTCTTTCTTTCTTTCTTTCTTTCTTTCATTCTTTCTTTCTTTCTTTCTTTCTTTCTTTCTTTCTTTCTTTCTTCCTCCCTTTCTTCCCCTCCCTCCTTTCTTCCTCCCTCCCTCCCTCCCTCCCTCCCTTCCTTCCTTCCTTCCTTCCTCTTCCTTCCTTCCTTCCTTCCTTCCTCCCTCCGTCCCTCCCTCTCATTCCCATCTCCCTCCTTCTTTCCTTCGTTCCTTCCTTCCTCTCATTCCCATCTCCTTCCTTCCTTCCTTCCTCTTTCTTTTTTCTTTCCTTCGTTCCTTCCTCTCATTCCCATCTCCTTCCTTCCTTCCTTTCCTTCTTCCTTCCTTCCTTCCTTCCTTCCTTCCTTCCCTCCCTCCCTCCTCCCCCCCTCCGTTTTTCCTCCCTCCCTCTCATTGCCACCCCCTCCCTTCCTCTCACAGCATCCCAGTCTCCCCCCATGTATGAAACTATTCATCTAGAAACTCAGGGGTCTTCCTTTTGGGCAGAACCCCTAGTTTCACAAGGGGGATTTTGCAAAGTCTGGGCTGGTTAGCTAAGCTGGGTCGGGGCCGGATAGAATTTGGATGGGGGTCCTCCAAGATCTCCTCCAGACGGGGAAGACGGGAAATGAAGCACAAACATCATCCAGGGCAAAGCACTTCTGTCCCTGTCTCTTCTTTCAAACCTCCAGTGATGGAGCGCCCTCAATGTCATCTCAATCTTTATCATTTTATCTTTATCTCTACTTTATCTTCATCTCAATCTCCATCTTATTTTATCATGTCATCTCTACCTTAACCTTAGCTTGTATTATTTTTATTTTGTTTTATTTCTGCCAGGCGTCCGGAGTCCCCGAGGGACAAGTTGGGCAGCCATGCTATTGTCCGAGACTCATCCGGTCTTCCTCTTCTTTTTCTTCCCGTCCAGGTGACTTCCCGCCTCCCCCCCCTCCGCCCCCACCGCCTCCCCCCTCGGCAGACCACCTGGGGGGCTTCTCGCCAGCCGCGGGGTCCTTCCTGCCGCCCCCTCCTCCGGATGAAGCCTTTTCCAGCCTCCAGGTAAGGAGGGTCAGTCCTGGGAGACGAAGAGAATAGAGCTGGAAGGGACCTTGGAGGTCTTCTAGTCCAGCTCCCCCCCAACCCCCAACCCCCCATCTGTTTAAGCAGGAGAACCTACACCATCTCAGACCAGTGATTGTCTAGACCAGAGGTAGGCAACCTGACTCATGGACTTCAACTCCCAGAATTCAAGCTATTTTCCAAAGCCCCTGAGAACAGGACAAGAACCAATGGATGGAAACTCATCAAGGAGAGAAGCAACCTGGAACTAAGGAGACACTTCTTGACAGTGAGAACAATTAACCAGTGGAACAACCTGCCTCCAGAAGCGGTGAATGCTCCAACACTGAAAGTTTTTAAGAAGAAACTGGACAGCCATTTGTCTGAAATGGTATAGGGTTTCCTGCCTGAGCAGGGGGTTGGACTAGATGACCTCCAGGGTCCCTTCCAACATTATTATTATTATTAAGGATGAGGGGGAACATGATAGCAGCCTTCCAATCTCTCAGGGGCTGTCCCAAAGAAGAGGGAGTCAAGCTATTCTCCAAAGGCCCTGAAGGCAGGACGAGAAGCAACGGATGGAAACTCATCAAGGATAGAAGCAACCTGGAACTAAGGAGAAACTTCCTGACAGTTAGAACAATTAACCAGTGGAACAACCTGCCTCCAGAAGCGGTGAATGCTCCAACATTGGAAGTTTTTAAGAAGAGACTGGACAGCCATTTGTCCGAAATGGTATAAGGTTTCTTGCCTGAGCAGGGGGTTGGACTAGATGACCTTCAAGGTCCCTTCCAACTTTACTATTACTATTATTACTATGATGATGATGATGATGATGATGATTAAGTCACGAAGGGGCCATAGTTCCCCCACGCTGGCTGAGGAATTCTGGGAGTTGCAGTCCGGGAGTCATAAAAGAGCCAAGGTTGCCTACTCCTGGTCTAGTCTTTCCTAAAAGATCTCCAGTGAGACCGGCGCAGAGGAGAGGAGGAATCAAATGTGGCTGGTCCTCAATTTATAACGGTTCGCTTATAGCAGAGCCGGGGTGGGCGTGGCCTGAACGTGACGCCTCCGGCCATAATACCAGCAACCGTTCCAGTCCCCTGATCATCTTTGTTGCTCTTCTCTGCACTCTTTCTAGAGTCTCAACCTCTTTTTTGCATCGTGGTGACCAAAACTGGATGCCGTATTCCAAGTGTGGCCTTACCAAGGCCTTGTAAAGTGGTATTAACCCTTCAGGTGATCTTGATTCTCTCCCTCTGTTAATGCAGCCTAGCACTGTGTTGGCTTTTTTGGCAGCTGCAGCAGACGGCTGGCTCCTATTTAAAGGATTGTCCACTAGGACTCCGAGGTCCCTCTCACAGTTGCTACTATTGAGCATCGCCTGCAGTACTGGGATTTTGCTTTTGCCGCCCTCGTCATGCCACTCTGCCAGTCTGGGCCTTTCCAGGAACGTCGGATTCCTGCTTGCCATGCCTCCCTTCCCCCTGCCTTTGTTCGGCGTGCCAGGTTACCACCCAGCCTGTGAATTCTTATCAAAGCCCTCATTAAACCTTAATTCACGTCTCCCCAGACGAAGGCGAGGATGGCAGGGGTGCCGGCATCGGGGTAAAAAGAAATCGGAAGGGGAAACCGGTGGCCGTAATTATCGGTAATCAGCTCTGGGCTGTAATTTGATTAATTGGAAAGGAAAGGAAGGGGGCCGGCTTCTCTCGGCTTCTGGGGAAGTGCTGTCTAGAAACTCCTGCAGGAGCTGCCGGGAACATGGAGGAGGCCTCAGTCAGGATGCAAAGGACCAGGAAAATGCCGCCCCCCCCCAAAAATAATTCATTTCCAGGTAGTCCTCGAGCTACGACGGTTCCTTTAGTGATCACTCAAAGTGAAAAAGGCGACTTTTTTCACACGACCGTTGCAGCATTTGCCCATGCTCACGTGATCAACATTCAGACGCTCGGCGACTGGCTCGTATTTACGACGGTTGGCATCACGTGACCCCTTTTTGCGGCCTTCAAAGTCCACGGGGGAAAGCCAGGATTCACTTACCGACCGTGTTACTCGCTTCACACCTGCAGGGATCCCCTTAACGACGGTCTTAAAACGGGGGCAAAAACTCTCACCTCATGGCTGGCTCGTTTAGCAACGGAAATGTTGGGCTTCACGGTGGACGTAAGACGAGGATTTACCTGTAATTAGATTTGGGTGCCGCCCGTCTCATCTAGAGGTGACTGGATTGCAGCAAGGAGAAGCTGGCCAGGGGGAAAAAAGGAGGATTTTGCTTTTCGTTGCCATGCTAAACCGAATTAACGTTTGGGCACAAATCCAGATGTGGATTTAAATCCTGTCGAAATGTTTCGGGGTGTGGTGAAACGAGTAGTGCGTGCAAGAAAATCCGATGTGAAGTCAAGAGTTGGATGATGAGAGTGTCCCATTTTGCAGTTGGGTAATAAATTAGGAAAAAAATAAGATCTTCTGCTTAGTA